TATATTGCGATAATTACTGTTTTTGTTTTATTGTCCAGCCCAGTCTGAAATGGCATCTTTTAAGCCGAATTATTCACAGCTATAAACTACTATGTATAGTTTACAGCCTGCAGTTCATGGAGATAAGCCAATGATTATTATTAACCTGTGATATTCTTGCTTCATATCACCATGGCTATCAATTCTAAACTTAGTTATTGCTGATGTTAGCATAACATTTAATTAGGCATAGCATCTTGCATGTGGTGTCTACAGCGTGGCTTACAACAAATTTCCTGAAAAGACACTCTTGTTTTTATTGTGACTAAGCTGTTGTGTGTCCGATAACGGAGAGGCTGATTTCGCTTCCTACACTATTCCAGGTTGCAAAGGAAAAGAGGGGGTAGAGAAGGAATAAGGAAAGCCTTTCTAAAGTACCCTCCATATTTTGACTATTGACACTTCCGCACTGTGGATATTTGGACACTTGAATCTGCCTCTAGTTGAGGAGCAGTACATCTAATCATTAAACAAAAGAGCTATACATATCCTCCATTCTTCCTAACTTGATGTTGTACAAACACACAATTCCAGTGTCTGTGTCATTCCAGTGTTGTCAAGTGTGCTCACCCCCGATGCCTCCAAAGCCCTTGACAAACTGGGACCCTTCCTGGCTCTTGTCTGTGACTATCTCCAGCGTGGCTCCAAATTTCTTGTAGTTGTTGGCAAACCATTCCAGGAGTGGCATGCTCTCAATCAGCTCATGTTCCTGCCCCGTCTAGAAAACACAATCAGAGTCAGGAACACATGGCATGATGGGTAATAGGTCTAACTTAAATCCCAGGGATCTGTCCTTTCTTTGCAGTGCTCACCTCCTTGTCTGTGAAATGAGACTTGTCTTTCTCCTGCTCTGGCGTTAAGTACAAAGTCTTCTCATCTAAAAAAACAAATATCAGAAGGAGAGCCAGGAATATTATAGCATCATAGCATATTTATTGCTTTGTTTCTCAGCAGTGGTAGATGTGATATTTGTGTACCGTTCTCTGCTCCGTTGCTCTCTGCCCCATGCACACGTAGAATGTAACGCATGGTGTCTAAGTTCTCGTACACTATGAGGATCTCCACTGCTCCCATCTCCAGGGCTTTGAGTGTGTCTTCCACTCCGAAACAGTACTTCCCCGTGTCCTGACTGATCTCATCAAAGTACCGCCCTACAGAGAACCAGGACAACCATTAGGAAATTCTCTTCAACAAAAGCTTTTGCTTCCTTTAGCCTTTGTTGGTGACACCTAACAACTGTCAATAAGAAGACTCACCTATGAGCTTCTTCTCCTGAATGAACTTGACATTAGAGAGAACCTCTGCTGAGAGCTCAATAGCCTGGTTGAAACCATTCTCTCCTCCGTACGAGATGTCCACCAGCTTCAGAACCTTGGCCTGTAACCTCTGTAGCAGACAAACACACACGTTTTACACTATAGAGATCACAGATGACATCAAGTGACATAATTAGCAGCATACCTATTATGAAAAGTCATTTCACTTTTTCCTCCAAACTGGCAGCTTAAGATACAAATATTTTCAATAAGGTCCCCAAGATCATGGTAAAGGCTATCAACAGAAATATGCTGACAACAATGACACATTATGCTGCAGGTTGTTCCCTACTAGAGCTATGGCAGGCCATCTGTGCAATCTGTGGAAAGCTCACTTAAAAGCTACCAGTGTTAAGATTGCTATTGCTCGAGGGTTAGTGCACCCCAAGAACTGCCGACCCAGTCTGGTAAATGCAGATCATTTTGAAACATGCTTGTTGTTTTTGTTGTTGCTCACATAAGTATTCTGTCCATTAACCAATATTTAATACTACATATTTTATATTTTGTCTTGTATTGCTTATAATGCGTCGGGATGTATTGTGGTAGTAGTAGTTAAACGAGACAAGAGCAAATTGCATGAAATGTCACAGCCTTAATTATTTTGCAATGTAAAGAGGGTTTTAAGAGGGTTGAGGGAGGTACTTTTCATTATGATATGGCTGTATACAGAACATAAAGAGTCTAAAAGACAGACAATTTCTAATAAAACGCTAGAAGTGCAAAAAACACCCAGTTAACCACTTTTTGTTTGCCAGCAATACAAAGATAATTTGGCAGATCTTTACCTAATGGATGCAGAAACTATACTAGTCTTTACACTAACCTAGATTAATAGTATATAGTATTTTTCTAAATCACAATATTAAAAGCTAGGGTAGGCAATGTATTTCAGAAGCATTTGTTATATTTGTTTTATTCCTCTTTACATCTCGACAGGAATCAATAAATCAAATGCTCCCACACACACAAAAAAAAGAAAAAAGGTGGCTGTCACAGGACTGTATGAATAAAATGGTTGGCTGGCCTACCGACTTGCACGCACTCTGCCCCGTGCATTCATTGCGCACGAAAATGTGTATTAAGACTTGTGCAGACTACACAACTTTCTGCGTCAGCAGATCGATGTGCTGTTCACACTGCACAACTTGCCATCTTGAGACACGAGTCTTGAAGTCGTTGTGGCGTTCACGCTACGTGACTGATCGGTGACAGGCATTTGGCATGCTAAATATCTGGCAGACGATGTGTCATAAATGTGTCGGGGAGACGTTTTGATGCGTCGTTGTGTAGTTCACACATAACGACTGGCGACCGCCGATCAACCGCTGATTTTCCCCCAATCACAGACCCAACGGTCACCGAGGTTGCCGACCCTCAAATCGGGATTAAAACTGTGTAGTGTGAACAAGACTTTAGGGGAGTTGCTTTGAAAGGAGGCCTGATTTTTTCAGTTTCAGTCAATTGTTTCAGTTCTTTCAAAGTCTGGCTGTCTCTTGCTTGTCTCTCCAAGCTGCCTATACTAGCTTTACGGTTATACGGTTAATTGAGTTTCTTAACCTAACATCTTAGTTCATTTAATTTTGTATCTGTTTGTATATGATGTGCATTTGTGCCTTTAAAAAAAAAAGAGAGGAACAAATCAATGTCGTTTTCGGGTATCTCTTCCCCACAGTTACCAGAGTGTTGTGTATGTGTAAGAAGTTAAACTGAGATTCTACTAAATTGCTTAGTAGTCCAGTTTCTGTATGATTTGTAAAGACATTAACATTAATCAATTACTGATATATTACACAAATACACACATTACATAGTAAATACTGAATTGGTACTGCTCTTTATCAGAAAACACACAAAGACTTACTGGGTCGAACATGTCAGACTGGCTGAGCTCAGTCTTGAAGTCGGCAGAGCCAGCTAATACCATTCCAGCCACATTAACTTTGTCGTTGGACACAAAGAGCTGGACGGCCGTCTCAGCCACTTTTCTCACATAGTTGTGTCTCTTCTCCATTCTCAGACGAGCAAAACGCAGAGCAGACTGCCCACCTCTGCCTGAAACAAAGATCGACAAGAGACACAATGTTTAGAATGTTTCTATATGGGAAAAGCTAAGGTCCACAAACTAAGAGTGATTTTTAATCCATTCTCTAACGATCTCTGCTTTGTATTTGAATATTTCAAAAGTTCAGTGTTGAGCAAGCTTTGTGGGTCAGTACCGTGCTTCTTGGGTAGGTCCACAGTGAACTTGTGTAGCACCTCTCTGGTGTTGCCCTGCAGTGTGCCAAACAGTGCCCCACTACCGTCGATCACAATAAAGCCAAACTTACTGTCATCAGAGAGCAGGGCTGTCAATGCCTGTGGTTGGGGGCGGGTGAAGAATGGATGATAAGAAAGTGACAGAAAGCAAGTATAATACAGATAAGAAAAGTTTCTTTACAAAAAAAAAAGTCAAATGCTGACACAGAAAGCCAGCAAAGGCTCTCACCTCGGTGTGGAACTTGTTGTCGCAGAGGTACAGGGAGGTGTTGATTGGCTTAAAAGGCTCAAAGTCGATGTTGACTTTCTTCTCCTTGCCTTCCTCTGTCACAATGGTGCCACAATACACGACCAAACCATTGGGTGGCACTGGAAAGAGAGAAAGGTCAGCGGACAGAAGATTAGACTTATATACTGAATTACCTATATTAGGTTTTTGTTCAGATGGATGAACAACATACAGTTTCTTGAACAGAAGTGATCACCATCAAGCTTTCTCAAAATATACCACTGTACATGTAGCTGAAAGGCCGTGATATTCTGTGTTAAAATGTCCAATGTGTTTCTCCTGGATTGTTTTTCTATTATAATCTAAAATGATTACGATGACCTGTGCACTGACACAGTACCATTGGGTAATACACACCCTTCTCCCATGCTTATGAGCTACCTACTTCGCAATTGAATGCTATAACCACCCTATCCTCTGCAAGTTAAATATTAAATAATCAGAAAAAATAATATTACTTGCTGTTCACAAGCTGCAAAGAGGTGCATAATAGACCAAACATACACATTTTAAAATGTATAAAACTAACATGCTGAGAAAGATGTTGAACAATTACATGTATATAATTTCCTGTTCAACCTAGACCTAATGTAACTGAAAACCTGTTTATGTTTATAAATGTAGACTTAACTGTCCACAAGCTTAACTGTCCAGATGCAACCTTCTATTACAGATGATTATTTAACAGCTTCTGTCACCACCACTTAAATTATATCTTTGCATCAGCAGCATCTGACTAAATGTCAATTCAACACTAAGATCTGACCATCTATCTGGCCTTTATGGGAACATGAGGGTAATTTTTGAGCAAGAGTTATACAGATATAAATGATTTCTCTCCAACTGCCCCCGAAAAACAAAATCCCACATGAAAGTCAGCAAGGTTTTATTTGGACTTTTATTGTAGCACATACCCTTGTTGTAGAGTTTTAGTCTTTGCTGTACAGAAGTGATGGCCCCGAGTACAGAGAGCCTGTTGACTCGGCTCTTGATGTTGGAAGCAGTGCCAAACTCATCGGCCAACATTTTGGCCACTCTGGATATCTGGTCCTTGGGGGGGATGATCAATGAGATCATACTGGTGCCATTACTATAGATAGAGAGAGGATTTAACGTAAGTACTTACATAAATGCATACGTACACACTTGATGCTATGGGATGCAGTGATTAACTACACACTAAAAACATGAGACCTTTACTACTACTACTACTACTACTACTACTAGAGTATGACAGGCTAGACACCACAACAACTAAATTCTTATCTATTTCAAAATGACAATGACATGATAGGAGTTCTCCACGTTAACACAACTTTGGTTATTTCAGACAGCAACTTCCCCTTTTCATTTTATTACCTTCAAGAGAACTCCACCTGTTACCCTCATGCTAATTTGTAAACACACAACACTCCCTTGCAAAATATCACCTTGACAAAGTCTGAATGGTTGAGGGACAGATGGGGTGGGTTTACAGTTACACAGCATACAATCTCTGCCCTTGAAGCAGAGGACTGAGTTTCACTTCCACTGCTCCACTCTCTCTCTCCATTCACTAACTATCAAGAGACAAAGCATACCAGCACAGGCTGACACTGCACAGCCACACACACAGGCAGGTAGGTAGCTGTAGCTGGATGAATATAGGGCAAATGGTCAACTGTGTGTAACATGGCAGGCGGTAGAGCACAGGACAGCAAATTCTGCGCAGCACTAGACAGCAGGCTGTCGCAGAACAAGCTACAAGCCAGTGTAGCAACACCCACATTTCACACGTCGTGTTTGATAATTCATGAAGGCCACAGTGTCCGTACCGGCATGCAACTGATTTCTTTTCAACTGACCATTTTATAGCAGGCAAAGCCTTCATGTAACGCTGAGCAGCTCGACTGTCATGAGGTAATTATCTGACTTAGTGAACTCTTTGGGGAATAAAGAAGCCCTGTCATATAATCTCCATGTAAAAAAAAGGCCAGAGATACGTCGTTTTAAGTTGTTGATGAGTCTAACGAAGCATGTGGAAGTCCAACTGTAAGCTAGCCGGCCTTCATTTCTCATCAACGTGCTTTCTAGTTAAAGACACACAGCGGCCTCTTTCCTGAGATGACGTCTATTAGCGGGTCTCATTAGCAACACAGCTAACATTACTGTTACTAGCTTTATACCGTTTGTGGGACTTGGGGAGTCATTCTTTTCAATGTCACACATAACACATATACGCAGACAAACCAAAACACACATCACTCTAAATTAACAAAATGTTTCCAACCTAGAGACAGACTGAATGCGACAGCAGTTGGCGCTTAGCAAATAGCAAGCTAGCAGCAAAGCTATGGTAAGCTAAGTTAGCTATGCTAAGCTAACCACTCCCAAATTCGGCCCCAATTATCCGATCTCCAGCTGTTGCGGCGGTCAACATTCACACCATCATCCGAAGCCATACACTTTAGTACAGCTGGCCCGGCCACTGTATCGACACACATCTCAAATCGATCACTCACCCACGGGCAGCTTCCAAACTTTTGATCAGCTTCTTGATTTTCCATATCTCCACGTTCCTGTCCGCCGCGCTGGGGTCGTCCGCCATCTTTCTGCTGTAATCGCTTCAGCACCTGAAAAGACGTGAAAAGGGAAGAAGAAAAACATATGCGGTGAACCAGCTAGTAACCAGCTTGGCAGATATACACCGTCTTATTTGTCTGACAAAATACTCGGTCTAACTAGCTGGAGTAGGTACCTCTCCAAACTAGTGGCGCGGTGTCCGTAAGGGACCTGACCAGTACTGGCAGGTGGACTAACCGTGGGGGAAAGACCCTTCCCGGGATGTCTCTGTCAGTACAGCGCGCGGAGAATAACAGGCCTACAATCTGCCAGGCCCTAGCGTCCACCCTGTTCTTATCTAATACGACCTACTTTCCCCGCTTTTCTAGCGATCAACGGTCAGCTTTTCAGTCGTTTAATATACACTGGTATAAATGGAAACGGTACGGTACCTGCCTCGGACAACGCCGCTCCGCTCCGCTATCTGTCCGCTGCGCTACGTCGAGTCGGTGGTCGGAGGAGTGACGTTGCCTTCCCGACCGGTTTCTCTCTCCTCCACACGCCGCGCGTGGTGCTATCGATGGGGCTCACATGTAGGAGGTGGTTAGAATTGTGGCGTTCACTTCCTGGAAACCGCCTAGAAACCAATGATAGTTCTCGGCTAGTACGTCAATCATAACTACCTAAACAACGATTGGACAGAAACTGACAACGTCAACGAGGCTGGGTGGGCGTCCGGAACTGGGGATCATGGGATTTGTAGTTAGCCCACTGTGACTCAAAGACTTCAGTTGAACTAACGGACATTTGTTTTTTACCGTTGCTTTTGCTAGCGTTTGTACGTTTAGCCAAGTACTTTATAACCTAACATTACGTAGGCCTATTAGGCTACAATGTTGTTAGCATACTCCTTAACTTCCCATAAGTAGCATTTGTGAGACTTTGAAAACATGTTTGCCTGATAAATTCTATCAGTGGCTTATCCACATGTTTAACTCTTAAATTACATTATTATAATCCTTAGGTTATGTCAGAAAATTAAAAGTACAAGGGAGATTTATTTGTCACATTACAACAGGTTGTAAAGTGAAATTGAGTTTGTAACTCCCATCTACATAGCAGACAATATACAGTAATACAATAGCAATCATAAAATGGTGGACAGAAATAAACTATATTCAGTGGAGCAGTGCTGAGGATGAATTTGAGTTTAAAAGTCTGATAGCTTGGGGGGAAAGCTGCTCTGCAGTCTAGTGATGCAGCAGCAGAAACCTCTCTTCCCAGAATGCAGCAGGAGTGAACAGGCTGTGGCTGGGGTGGGTACTCTTCTTTAATCAGTGTTAATATAATTATTATCCAGTATTTGTATCTTAAAATAAAAGCTTTAAAATAATTTTGACTTGTAATAGGGAGAATGGTGTCCCGGTCATTGGCCCTACGGGCGACTGGTATCAGAAAAACTTTATTGCACTATGTAACATTGGAATCCCGGGCAGGAAGTCTATCACAACAACGGTGCAATGCTTTACAACACTATGTCACACACCAACACAACTTTCACCAAGCGTTCTTTGGATGAAGCTAGCTCAGAATTCTCAGTAGGCTAGGAATGTCAGAGTCTGCGAAGTGACCGAAGAATATAGGAAGAAAATAGGAGAGGGTGACAGAAAAGAGTAAAAATTGTACTGGCTTTTTCTCCTTGGCATGAGCTAAAGCAGAAAGGATGCAGGACAGATGCTGAGCTGGCATTCTTGCTGTAGTAAGTAATAGGCTAACCTATTAGCTGGTTTGCTACGTCTTGCATTGTGGTGCTAGCTTGTTTGTCTGTGTTAGCATAGTTGTCGCCTCGAGCAAAATCAGCCAGATGTTTCAGATTGAGCTTTGTTGGCTAGCTCGCCACCCAGGTGGTGGGGAGCGGCACTGGTGTCATGCTGGGGCCAGGAAAGTGGGCCACCTTACCGTGCTCAGCAGTCTCTACGGAAATAACTGTTAGCTAATGGCAGAGGTGAAAAGACCAAAGAGGACATTGATGAGGGAAGTTAAGAAGAGAAAAAGATAGTGACCAAGCAAGAGGTTGCCAGACATTGGCGAGAGCTTTTTGAAATGAAAGGCTGCAAGATTGGTGCTGGCGTTCTTTGTGTACACATATGGATTATTAAGTAATATTGCTGTCTTGTATTGTTGCTTGATGTTTGGCTGTGTTAGCAAAGTATTTGACTTGTTAGTTTTTGATGATAAGTAATATAATCAAAACAAATGCAAGTGTATAGCTGTCCTTATTTATTACAGCAGAGAATTATACTCTGAAACGATAAGGGTGTCAAATCACACCAAATCTTAAAGAACCATATCATATAACAAACAACATTAATCCCTCTTGCTGAGGTGCTTAAAGGATAGGCAATATTTTTCTGCCCACGCCTTATTGAGTTGCTTTGCGAAATACTGATAACTTTAGTTTAGAAACCAATCACTTAAGCTTCACTGGACTAAAACACTGTCCAGCGGGAGAAACATTTGGCTTTCAGAAACAGCAGTGTGTAAACTGAGGGAAGGAGGCTAGTGACTCAGTTTCCTGAAATATTCAGCACTATTGTCTCATGACAATTCAAGAAAAATAACTTTGTAAAGGTCCAGTGTGTAATATTTCAGAGGATCTATAGACAGAAATGCAATATAAGATCCATTGCTATGTTTTCAGTGGTGTGTAAAGACCTTACATAATAAACCATTATGTTTTTATTACCTTAGAATGAGCCATTTAAATATCTACATAACCGCGGGTCCCCTCTTCCATGGACGTCGCCACGTTGCATCGTCATGTTTCTACACTAGCTGAAAAAGGACAAACAGCGCTACAGAGCACGTTTCGTCACTACGTTCTTCTTGTTCTACTTCTGGTAGAATTCAGGTAGTGCAGACACTCATCAGTACGCTGAATACGTATGTTCAAAGAAGAAGTAGTAGTAATGATGTACAGTAGGGGTAGGCAAATAAGTTTTGCATCGGAGCAATATTTTCAACCATTAGATGGTAGATGAGAATATAAGAGATAATATTTACCTGCATTGACATGTTGTTCAGTTAGCTCAGTTGGTAAAACACAGGTATGTCAAGCAAGCTACAGACTCTTTTAATGTCGTTCAGAATTTTTCAAAGTAAGAGCTCAGTTCAGCTCCAAATACTGCATTACAGTAAACATGCTTCTCATGCTTTTATTTTTAGGCAAAACCACTAAAGAGGAGGTGATTATGTTAGTAACTATTGCTGCCATGAAAGATCTATTTCAGCACCACAATCAAAGTATTAATTTACATTTTTGATGCTATCAAAGCACCAAAATCTGGCCACGGGCCAGATATTATTGCTGGCGGGCAGTTTTGGCGATGATCCATAATCACAGATAGAGTTAATGTGTTTCCCTTGTAAATGTTTGTCTAAAGTTTATCTAATGTGTGGTTTATAATGACAATGTTACACACTCTTGGTGTACATTTTCCATGTTATCTGTCAGTGGGCAAGTTGCATTAACATATGGTTTTACTGAATAATTAAGTAAATTAGGGATGCACAATTAATCCCAATTGCGATGTCATCATGTGCGATTACATAACCGCAAAAAGTGTGCAATTTAATAAAACAGAAAAGGTGTGTGAGACACTCTTCTGTGTGTGCACTGCAGTCTGCTCATTTGCTCTGCCCACACTGAGCTCTCGCATGTGCCCCTAACAACAGATAAGCCAACGTGCAATGAGCAAAATGTTTTATGAGCAGTGTGCTAGTAACTTTTAAGACAACGACCTACGTAACCCCCGCCACCAATCGTTCAAAACATAGTTGGTCTCGTCATCGGAGCATTTACATTTACTCATTTGGCAGACGCTTTTATCCAAAGCGACTTACATCTGAGATGAAACAACATACAAGCATCAACAAAGCATCAAATATAGCTTGAGATCTACAACTGACAATACATACTAGTAAGAGCAGCAATAAATACTAGTAAGAGCTAATAGCACATATCGCATCAATGGCGTAAATACCTAGGGAAAGAAGTTAGAGTTAACGAAAAATGTGCTATCAATACAAGATAATTGTAAGGGGATAGAAAAAGAAGAGCACAGGAAGTGCATGTTAGAGGTTAGGAGTTAGAGGTGTTATAAGAGGAAGTGTTCTCGGAAGAGATGAGTTTTCAAGAGCTTCTTGAAGTGGCTCTGAGATCAGTACGGAGCCCACGGATGGTATCAGTTAGCCATGGGTGGGACTGGTTTCGGGCGAGAAAGCTTGATGGATAGAGGAAACAGGCTATCCAGGCAGAAGCTTAGTGTAGAGCACAGAGACTGTGCGGCATCATTGACCTCGAGTGAGGAAAATGTGATGAGGGGAGGTGGAGCGGAAGCTACCACTGAGACAAAGTGAGTGGGAGACAGGTTGCGGAGGTTATGGCAGTGTGAAACAAACGGTGCTAGAACAATGGGCTGTTCCTGTAGGCATACCATGAACTGAATGAAATAGTGGTCCGACATATATAGCGGTGTGACTGTTAGGCACTCGTGGCACAGTTTTGGACAAGAACGAGGTCAAGCACCATGGCAGCTTTGTGTGTCGGGGTGCTGAGAACCCGTGTTAGATCAAAGGACTGAATCAGAGACAGGAAGTCTGCTGAGTTTGATTTGTCTAAGTCAATGTTCATGTCACAGAGGACAAGTAAGAGACAGTCATGCTCTGGGATTGAAGAAAGCAGTGTGTCTAGCTCGTCCACAAAGTTACCCACTTGTCCTGGTGGACGGTATATGACAATCACCACATAGACCTTTACCGGAGCGGACACCAAGACAGCATGATATTCGAAGGAGGCATATTGGTTCGGGGGTCGCAGCTGTGTGAATTTCAATTTGTTGGAAATTAAAAGCCCAGTCCCACCTCCCCTCCCAGATGGTTGGGGAGTGTGGACAACGCAGCGGGGTTAGCAGTGTTTTCTGATTTGATCCAGGTCTCAGTGAGTGCCAGTAGCCCAAGAGATAATGTGTTGGCATAAGCAGTGATAAAGTCAGCTTTGTTGACTGCAGACGACTGGCAGTTCCATGACCCAACAGAGAAGTAGAGGGTGGTGTCTGTTTTAAAGGCTAGAGGAGTGCCTTATTTCTGTGCCTAATGGCATGATACCTCCTGCTTGCACCGCAGACAACAGGAATAGTATGGAAGCACATGTCCTGACTGTAGTTACAGCCAGCAGTGATGCAGGTGTGCTTAGGAAAGTAAAAGCTACTCTTGTAGGTGCTCAGTAGACTCGCTGGTCTTTACTCAAGTTGGTCTTCACACAAAGAGCAGATGCTTCAGTGGTAGGTTACACTGAAATAATATGAGTCTAATTGCATACAGGTGTTGTGCATTAAGACTAATTGCACCCAGCTGAGATCGCCCTCAGCTAAAGTAGTAAGACAGAAGAAAACAGGGAGAAGATACAGAAGGTTTGGGTTTGGCTCGCTGGCCAATGTTTGCTGTATCGGTGCCTTTTGTTGTTCAACATGTTACTTTTCACAGAGTCGACATGCTTGTCAGTCACTTTTTGTCAACTGACCAATCACAGCCTGGATGGGTTGATGTGCTACAGCAAATCATTAAATGGTGAACAATATGATTATTGACAAGTTAGTACTTAGCATTAACAAATTAGAGACCAATATAGAGCCTTTTGCTTGCAAGGATACAAGGATTAAATTTTAAAAAACAACCCACAAAAATTAAACCGCTATAACTGGTTTTAATACTCAACAAGTGGTAAAAAAGTATACTATAATTTGAAATCCTAATGAATGTAGTATGTAATATTTATTGTTATACTAACTAAACTATTAACTTAACATTATACTCTCTATATAATACACTCATGTACCGTTCCTCCTCCAGGTTGTGGATAGAGAGTCTGCTTTAGATAGATGAACACTGACCTGGTGCCAGTCTGCCAATAATTCCTCCTCCGTAGAGCAAAACGCTCCCCTTGTTCTGTTTTACATCTGTTTTATTTGTTATTGTTATAAATATTGTTTAACTTTGTTCAAGGAGAGAAATACACATTTCAAAATGTCAGTATTTCGCGCATTCCTTGATAATCAAGCAAGTAGACTCATAGTACCATTTGTTCCATTATAATAGAATCGCAATTGCAATATTGTCCACAATAATCGCAATATGACTTTTTCTCCAAATTGTGCAGCCCTAAAGTAAATATAATTTCTTAATAAATATACCTTAAGAAACCTAATTTCTTGACTGGCTACTCTCTGCTGTCTCAGAAGACACACCTTTTGTGCTGTGTTCACAATCCTTACCGCTAGATGCCATGAAATCTTACACACTGAACCTTTAAAGTACAATTTATTATTGCTTACAGGATGTTCTTCCTAAAACCACCAGTACCCACCTACAGTACACGTTTGTCAGGTTGTCACTTACTTTAGAGGAAATAAAGAACATAGGAGAAAGGGAAACTGTTTTTTATATGATAAATGATCAAATATTAGTGAGATGTCAGCTAATGATGATCAACTGTGTGACACAGATGTCCCCAAAAGTAAATCCTTTTGTCATCAACATAATAAACATTTCCATTATTTTCAGTACCAGTTCACTTCTTCATCAACCTGGCAACTGCCACATTTTGTGATGTAACAGGTGTCTTGAATGTTACAATATGGGTGCTTTCCTTTGTATATCCAAGTCAGCAGGGTTCAGCCATCCTTTTAGCCTGAGTGTTGCAACAATGTGGCTTTCAAACTGCTGAGTGGGCTATTTCAACCCAGAGAAAGGTCAGCTGTCCAATTAGTGTGACTGGCACAAAAGAAAAATGAAATCTGTGAGATGTTTCAAGCCAGGTGGCTCAGTAATCTAATTATCTTCTGGTGTTGAGGTGGATGATAAAGGTGCAAATTATTGGTTGAGATGCTGGATGAGCTATGTGTAAGCCTAAGATTACAGAGTGAATACAGTGTAAGTACAGTGTGGTCTTATAGGTCACTCTGCAACACAGCAATTAACTGCTGAAATATATCAGTTTCATCTTTTTTTTTCTCTAAGATTTGTTATGTCCTCAATAACATTTGTTACTTTCTACAGGAGTAAAAAACATATGTACCCTATATATACATGTGAAGGAGGCAGTGAGAGCCTAAATCAGATGCAAAAATGGTAGGGACAGAAGCATCCCCTGCATTTTCCTTTTACACGGAGCAGTGAAATTACATTAGAGCATTCACACATTTAGACCACTAGATGGCAGCATCGGTTAAAGCACAAATGAATGCCTTCTACACTGTCTCTCTTGTTTTTATTAGTTGATTTTTTGTACACACACTTTTGCTGATTTATTTTGTTTACTTGATGGGCTGTATGAAATGAATCCATACAGTTCATTAGACACACACACCCACACTCACTGTTTTTTTGTTTTGTTTTTTTATTATTATTTTTACTTAAACACACACACACACACACACACACACACACACACACACACACACACACACACACACACACACACACACACACACGTGTTTCCTGTTTTATTTATTTTATTTTATTTATTTAACTGTATGAATTGTTCCTTTGTATTTTCCCTAAAGCTTTGGCAATACTGTTCTAGTAACATTCATGCCAAAAAAAAAAAGTATAATATCCCTGGAGCTTCTTGTTTTTTGTATTGCTCGATGGGACACTCAAAAGGTCTTGTCTTGTTGGGTATAATTGTACCATGCAGTTTGTTAGACTTAGGCCGCCATATGCTGTATAGTCAATGTCTTAATAGAGTTGTGTTTGTTTCTCTAAGAACAAACATCTGTTTGTGCAAGAAGCAACAAGCCCAAGAATCATCCCTGTGGTATTACCCATCTCTGGTGAAATGGGGGAATGGAGAAGGTAGGTGGAGCTTCTGTCTGGATTTGGCAGTCACTGGATGGCTACATCATCAAGAAAAAGTGATATAGCAGTTTGTGCAACTGACTCCCTCCAACATTGTCCAGCACAGGTATGAGCACCAATTCATCACCATCTGTCGACCATCAGAGCTGTTATGATCTGTCGCTTGGAAATGGATGGCCCTCGCTGTGCGGTGCACAGGAGCTGTCCTGGCCAGGGCCACTACTCCTCATTTCACCTGGTCATCACACATGAGCATTCAGATGAGCAGAGAAGGTTGACAGGTTGTTGAATCCTCAGCATTCTAGGTAAATAAGTAACTGCATTTGTTATCGTAGCAGTAAGCAATACAATCAGCATAAAGGGCTATATCAGGGGTTTCAATCCCCCTTTTTTGGCCTGTGGCCCAGATAATCTCACAATCCCAGCAGTTAGTCAGATGTAAAATTGTTGCATAAATCTGATTAAGTTATAATTTACTATTTCTGTTTTCAAGGGATTTGATAAAGCTTCATACAGACATTGAACAAAATATTTCAAACCTTCGTAGTGTTTTTAAATTAAAAATCTAGCAGATAAGTCAGCGAATCAACACGGATCGCCTTATCATAAAAAGTTATAAAAAAGGTTTCCCATGATCACACCTTAATTGCTGCTTTATTGTTTTTTGATGCACCCATACATTTCAGATGTTTCATGCTTTTATCTTGATGCTTTTAAATTTTGTCAGTTTTCATACTCTTGAGCAGAACAATATTTTGTTTAAACTGTTTTTGTAATAAAAAATACAAAAAAACTTTAACTTCTTGAGACTACTTACACACTCAAACCGGTAACTAAATTAAATTGTTACTAAATACTGGTATTTATTGGGTAAATCTATTAGGTGAAGCCTAAATGTGAAGAATGCTGAACTCTCTTAAAAGAATCAGTCTGAGAACATTGTGGCTTTATTTATGTAAATTTAAAGCATAGCGGATGACTTGCACTCAACTTCATCACTTATGATTCATGTGTATGTAATGGTTACTTTACTCCCATATAGCCAACTGCATGAAGTACTACATGTGTATCAAGACAGACCTTTCATACTCTATGCAGGGCATGATGTCATAGCAGAAGTGGCTAACAGTCTGCTTTGTCATAGTGACCAGGCCAAAAGAAGGAAGCGCTCTGTGTGTGTGTGTGTTTGGTGTACATACTGTAGGTATGCACGTGGGAGCGTTATAGAGAGCGTGGCCTGAAACAGATGCCACCAGGTTCACGGGGCTCTGTTTTCCCATCTGTGGCCATCTGCTTAAGTAGAGATGAGGGGAGAGAGGGATGAGTGAAGGTGGAAAGAAGGACTCTCGGGGGTATTCAAGGACATGGTCTTGCTTGTCATCACTAAGAGATTTGAGTAGGGTAAAAAGACAGAGGAAGTGAGGATGCATCCTATCAGACACTTCCAGAAAGAAGCAGGCAGTTACATAATCAGAGATACATCAACATGTTGATAGGAGGTTGTGAAAGTTTTTGGCTGCCTATCAGAGGGTTAGTCAAAAACAAATGAAAAGACTTAAACATTAAACAAATCAGAGCTCTGTTTCCCTGACTCTTGTAACCAAGCTGTCACTGACAGGTTAAAGCGTTGATGCTTCCCCTCCTATGAAAACATCATCTGCTCCTCAGTGTGTGCAGTGCAGCTCTCAACACAGATGAGGAAACCTTTGAACTCCTCAGAGGGAATTAAGCGGCACATATTCTCTCTGCTGACTAGCTAATCTGTGACTCAGTATGTGTCTGTCTCTCAGGCTCTCTTTCTGTGTCCTCCCCAGTGAAAGAGAGGATCGTAATCGTCAGCACTTCAATAGCTTGCTTATGACTTAAACCAATCTTCTTAGGACGTGCTGTATGGGTATGAGAATGTTCAACTGTTGGTGTCTGCCAGCCATCTGCTGCACCACCGAGTTTTTTTTGGTTCTGGGACAAGTGTAAAGATTTGGGACTGCAGCAGCAGGGGTGTTTGGGTATGTTCTTTTTGGGTTTTTTTGCAACACTCAGTTGACATTCTTTTCACATCCCTGGCTCTCTTACTGCTCTCCACAGAGGCAGAAGGAGATTTACGGATCTCCGTCACAATATTAAGTGGATTAATCAGGAATGGAGAGTTGAGGTTGTCATAAATATAAATGAGGTCTTTTGAGGCATAGGGCAAGACATACTGCATTTCCACATAGTGTAGGCTATTAGGAGTTTATCGGCGCACTGGATTAAGACCAATAACCTCAATTTAGAGGCCAGGACACACAGTCAGTCTTAATGATGCATTGGAAAGGGGTTAAACCCAAAGGTAATATGGACCAGCTGGCCTGCCTACACCACTCACTGACCCAGGGCATAATCCAAATGTCTTTCACGCCTCAGGGAGCAAGGAGTTCAATGTATCTTGGCAGTTTAAGTCAGATTTTAAGGGTTTTTTTAAGCCTTATTTTCTGTTACTGCAATGCGGACTAATATATATTAAAAGAAAAACAGAATTGCTTGAGCAAACAATGTGCTACCTGCCTATGGTAGCCTGGAGAATAATGTTGTATTGCAGTCAAAACATCCAGTTGATAAAAGGATGCCACCTATCACTCCCCAAGGAGAGATTAGCAGATGCTCTCATCAATCTCAGTGCTTTCCCAGAGCCTGATGGTATAACCTGTTTGGCAGCAATCTATATCAGAGAATCAGAATGAACATACATAATTGTACATCCAGAAAAATATATTTTTGTGTATGCAAAAATTTACCAAATGCAGCTGTTCTGGAACATCTGTTGCCTCAACGCCTGTTACATGCATAAACAATGTAGTACGTCATCCGATGTTTGTGCCCCTTTTGGCACAACTAACAAAGATAGTAAAGTAGCAGTAGAGAATCACGTAAGTCATGCTAAATTGTTACAAATGGGTTTGGTGCCGTTTTTAAATAATGAATCTACACCAGAAAAGAGCACCAGTACAGAAACATTTACTGTAGTGGTATCTGTGGACACCAAAGATGCTGAAGTCTTGGTTGTCACTCACCAGGAAAATCAAGTTTTCATAGCAGTGAGGCCAGTACATAGTGGTAATCCATGCCATCGTTGCATGCAGCGCACCCTTAAACCAGGCTGAAATCGTGATATCAGAGCCACTACCATGACAACCTCACAGATAGACTGATAGGGAAAGGATGATGGGATGGTGATGAAACAGGGCAGAAAGATGGTAGAAAATTGATTTTCTTCAAGCTGCATTAATCAAATTACTACAGAAAAGGGCATTATCAGTACAATGGATTTAATACAGTGTATTAAATGAAGACAAAGGCGTGTCTGCTGAGGCAAGCTCACTTTGAGGGATGAAAGGAATGATCAAAAGTCAATGTCATTTGGATGACATACACAGGTCTCAGTGAAATAATTAAAAATAAATAAATAATATATACACATAAAAAACTCTCCTAAATACATTACTCACATTCACCCTAGTATAAATGACAAATTGAGTGGGTTGTATTTCTGCAGGAATGTGCTCAAGTCAATGTATGCAACTGCATGTGTGTGCCTGCTCTGGTGAATGCAAAAGTGTTGCAGTACTGCATGTGTGTCTGCTGCTGGCACACGCAGACTGCTGTTGTTGAAATGAGGACACTGAACAGACAGCATCAGACAGGGAGACTTAAATGTATTCAAACATTGTTGAACTGCCACAGTAAAGCCAAAACATTTTCAGCTCAGAATATCAGCATTTCATTAGAATTTTAAAATAAAAAAAAAAACACACTCACTATGGTTGCATGGAGAGAGACAAAGAAAGGTTTTTGCAAATGTGTCCATTTAGAATTGCATTTGTAAAAGACAGATCTGCTATATGTTTTTGTGTTTTAGGATTATTGTGAATGTTTATGTGGGTGTGCCTATAGCCCCAGACAACTTCTCTTCATAGCCAAAGGGTAAGACAATAGCCAGACAGGATATGGTAGCTCCCGAACGACAACATGCTAAATGGAGTACAGTGAGGATAGAGGTTATGCTCATTTGCTATATTTGTCTATTGGATGAGCAAATCAATATCTCACAGTATAAATACAAAAGAGAAATTGATGAAATTGAATCAGTGAAAGAGGGCCCCCCTGTAACAAATGTCAGTGAAGACTGGTTGAAGGTGAAGACTGAGTGAAGAAGAGAGAGGAAGCCCTACAGGAAGGAAACAAAAGCATGAGATTGATATGGAAGGAAAGGGAGGAGCATAAAATAGAAAGGTGGGCAGTAGTGTTTTTTAAATGACTGTAATTAAAAGTTTGTTGAACTAAAACTCTGCTTGACTTATTGGAGGGGCAGGAACAACCTCACTGACTGAGAATTAGATTTCTTTGTATTCTAGGTTTCGCATCACTAAAGCTGCTATTGTAAAATTTAAATGCAGGCAGTATTGTTTGTGGTGCCATTAATCAATTTATGACAGGCAAAACTATTCATGATTTATGAACTATTTTAGTTGCACACCAGTCTTCTAATAAACATGCAGTATTTTCCTGCTTGAGTAGGGACTGCAGAGCACATTTAACTCTCATCCAAACATTTAAGCCCCCACTCATGTGCCCATGGTGGCGCAAACCCGAAACATTTAGAGCTCAAGGACACTTCAACATGTGGTCAAGAAAAAATAAGGATTGAACCAACCCCTACGATTAGCGGACGACCTGCTGTACCTGCTGAGCCACAGCAGAGCAATTTGACTGACTTCCCAGTGCGCTTAACATGAACTTAAAGTTGGGATAGGCAATTCATTTCAGAAGCATTTTTTGGTATATGTGTTGAAATTCTCTTTACATCCTGACACCAATCAATACATCAAAAATGAAAAAAACATTCGGTATCTGTGGCTGTCTTAGGATTGTAATAATTCATTAATTCTCTCAGAATGCTTGGCTGACCTACCTGCCGGTCTACCAAGGTGCACTCACTGCACATGAAAATGTGTTTTGGGTGAGTAGCGACCAGTTGGATACTTTCACAATCTAGCTGTCTACTGGTAGTTGTCTGTTTCCTACCCTAGCTTTAACAACAAACAAGTTAGTATGGTGCTTTTGATTCTTTAATGAAAATGTAAGATAGCTGTTTATCAGAGATTAAATAGTAGTGCACTTGCACTGCTTTTGATGTTATTATCATAGTAGCCTACAATGGGTTTTACCACTGCTACATTGTTTTTCTAAACTAAGCTAATCTAGTTAGCAATCCTTTTTACGCTCTCAGATTCTTTTCTTGTTTTTGTGCCTCTATTTAAAAAAACAACCACAGTTAAATACTGTTATTTCTGTTTGGATTTAAAGAAAAAGGCCATATGATGCACTGTGACGGCAGCAACAGACTGAAGCAGCAAAAACGAAATTAAATGAATATGTTCACCAAGAACATCATCAAGATAAATGATTAACCTTCTGCATTATGTAAGATGTATGTACAATATGTCTGGCCTCACAGGCTGAGACCAGATGATCTGATCATGACACACAAAGGGAAAACCAAGATGAGGGGAAAATCACTGGACAAATAAAAAGCAGACAGAGAAGTGCAAGTCCAGGGTTGAGAGGTCAGAGAAAGCAATTTCTGTTGGAATATAAAAGAGTATGATCAGTGGTTGTATAGCTGTTGATGTAGTGGGCACAGCAGGGTCACAGACATTTAGGCAAATATTATCAAAGCAAAAACATGGACTAATGGCGAGGTAGAATGACATTTCTCAGATGGCTGCTGGTTCAGCAGTGATGTATACCG